GATCTGGCAGATCTAGCAGATCAAATTTAAGCAGATCAAGTGTGTTAACATCAGCCTCAGCTCGTATCTGTGCAGAGGCAGAGAGGGCAGCTTTACTTGCCAAAGCCAATACACTGCAACAAAAACATGCTATAGAGAAGAAAGAAGAAGAACTTAGAAAGATGAAGGAGGTGTGGGAAGTTCAAGCTGAAATTGCAGCCAACACCGCAAAAATCGAGTATCTCAAGTATGCTGAGACCTCAATAACCAATGGAAATGCTGTTGAAGATGATGCCATGAATGTGTATTGTAAGGAGATGTTGGATAAAACTCCAGTGCAACAAGATGTGCGCCCAAAAGAGACACTTCATGAACTCTCTACAGCACCAACTCAGACTACAAGACATTCTTTTCCTCAGAACAGCAATGCAATTCAACAACCCACCACCATGAAGACTGACTCCAAACTCCCTGCACAAATCTCTCATACAGCTCAAGCAAGACCTCTAGAAAGTAGAGAATCATCTTCATCTAATGTCATTCAAGGGCCTGATCTTGCTAAAATTCTTCAAAAACAAAACAACTTGACAGACATGCTTGTGAAACAACAACTTCTTTCCACCTTACCAAGAGGGGAAATTCCAATGTTTAGTGGAGATATTCTGCAGTACAGGTCATTCCTTCATTCTTTTGAGCACATCATTGAAACTAAAACAGATGATAATGCAGACAGGCTGCATTTTCTCATTCAGTACACAAGGGGACTACCACAGGAGCTGGTAAGAAGTTGCCAACACATGTCACCGAACCAAGGTTACCAAAAGGCAAAGCAGCTATTAAAAGAACACTTTGGTAATGCATATAGGATTTCATGTGCTTATATTGAGAAAGCTCTTTCTTGGCCTTCAATCAAGCCAGAAGATCCAAAGGCTTTACAGGCCTTCGCATTGTGTCTTAGAAGCTGCTGCAATAGTATGGAAGACTTGAAGTTCATGGAAGAACTGGACACAGTCTCCAATATGAGGTGTATTGCTTTCAAGCTCCCATATAAGCTCAGAGAGAGGTGGCGCACAAAGGCATTTGAGTTGCAAGAACAGAGGAACAAGGTAAAGATGGTAGATCTCGTCAGCTTCATTGAAAAACAAGCTAACATTGTCTCAGACCCAATATTTGGTGATATCCAAGACTCAAGCCCAAGTAAAGGAAAGCCCAAAGTGCTAGTGAAGCCCAAATCCAAAGGCAGTTTTGCTACCAATGTGCATGTGAACTCACCACAGACCACATCTAAGGATTCACAGCCAATTTCATGTCTCTACTGTAACAATGGACATGATTTGATGTCATGCTTGCAGTTTGAAAAGCAGCCGCACAGAGAAAAGATAAACTTTATAAGACAGAATGGAATCTGTTTTGGGTGTTTAACCAAAGGAGGACATATAAGTAAAGACTGCACACAGCATCTGAACTGCTCCATATGCAACAAACAGCATCCAAGTGTGTTACACATTAAAGCATTGGAATCATCAAAACAACTGAAGAAAACACCTGTGAGTAGCACACAGGTCTCCCTTCAAGATGGTAAGCATGCTGGAGTCAGAAACATGCAGTTTTACACAGAGTGTTTGTTGTCGATTGTACCAGTACAGGTTAAAAGCTCAAAAGGAAGTAAGATTCTGCACACATATGCCTTTCTTGATCCTGGTAGCTCGGCAAGCTTCTGCACAGAGGATCTTATGAGGAAACTCAACATTACTGGAAGAAAGACCAATATTCTTCTTCGAACAATGAGCCAGGATAAGTCTGTGCCCTCGTACATTGTCAGTGGGTTGGAAGTGTCTTCACTGGAAGAAAGTAACTTCATCCACCTGCCAGAAGTATACACCCAAAAGATCATGCCTGTTGACACCTGTAACATTCCCACAAAGGAAGAACTATCTAAATGGCCATACCTGAGTCAGGTACAGTTTCCTAGGATTCCAGCCAAGGTGGAGTTGTTGATTGGAAGCAATGCTCCCAAAGCCATTGAACCTTGGGAAATCCTTAATAGCCAAGGGGATGGGCCATATGCAGTTAAGACCCTACTAGGATGGGTTATTAATGGTCCTTTACAAGGCAAAAACACAGCAAACAGGAACAGTTGTGATGGTGGTGTTGTTAACAGAATTTCTATCTTGAACTTGGAAGAAATGTTGATGCAACAATACAACCATGATTTTAATGAGCGTTCAAGTGAAGAGAAGGCTGAAATGTCTATAGAAGACAAAAGATTCATCAAGATTGCAGAACAGTCAATAAAATTAAAAAATGGACATTACACTCTTAATCTACCTTTTAGGAAGGACGACACAGTGTTGCCTAACAATTACCAAGTGGCAGAACAGCGACTTCAAAGTTTGAAAAGAAAGTTCAAGAGGAATGAAAAATTCAAAACCGAATATACTGAATTTCTAACAGAAGTCATAAAAAAGGGCTATGCTGAAGTGGTGCCGCAACAAGAGTTGAAAAGATCAGATGGTAAATTGTGGTACATCCCACATCATGGTGTATACCATCCTCAAAAACAGACCATAAGGGTGGTCTTTGACTGTGCTGTTACTTTTCAAGGTAAATCCCTCAACTCAGAACTTCTTCAGGGTCCTGATTTGACCAGTACACTTTTTGATGTTTTGACCAGATTTCGCCAAGAATCTGTAGCAGTTATGACTGATATCAAAGCAATGTTCCATCAGGTCAGAGTGTCAAGATCAGATGTTGACTTCTTGCGATTCCTCTGGTGGCCAAGTGGTGATGTCAGCATGCCTGCTGTGGAACATCGAATGATGGTACATCTATTTGGGGCAGTCTCATCCCCCAGCTGTGCAAACTTTGCTCTGAGGCAAACAGCCAAAGACAACAAAGAATGTTTTCGAACTGAGGTGATAAACACGGTTGAGAACAACTTCTATGTAGATGATTGCTTGAAGTCCCTTCCAACAGAGCATGAAGCAGTAGAATTGGTGAAAGATCTAACATCTCTCTGTCAAACAGGAGGATTCCACCTCACAAAATGGGTGAGTAACAGTCGTACTGTTCTTGCACATATTCCAAAGGAAGACAGAGCTCAGAATGTAAGGGAATTGGATCTCGACAGGGAAAAGCTTCCCACTGAAAGAGCTCTTGGATTGTTGTGGTGCGTGGAGAATGATGTGTTTAAGTTCAATATCACTGTCAAGTGCAAATCCCACACCCGAAGAAACTTGCTATCAGTTGTGAGCTCCATCTATGATCCACTTGGATTTTTGAGTCCCTTTACTCTACCTGCCAAATTTCTTATCCAAGACCTCTGTAGGAGTAAATGTGGTTGGGATGAGGAAATACCACAGGCTGCAGTGGATAAGTGGACAAAGTGGATAAAGGATCTTGACGAGATAGAAGATTTCAGAGTGGCACGCTGTGTAAAGCCAACTGGTTTTGGAATGCTGAAGCAAGCAGAGCTGCATCATTTCTCTGATGCTAGTGAACAAGGATACGGCATAGTGAGTTACTTGAGACTGACTGATGATATGCACACTGTACATGTGTCTTTCATGTTGGGGAAAGCCAGAGTGGCCCCACTTAAGCACGTCACAATTCCACGTCTAGAACTTACAGCTGCAGTGCTAGCAGTCAGAGTCGACATTATGGTAAGGAAAGCTTTGGAGCTAGATCTCAAAGGCTCAACATTTTGGACTGATAGTCAGTCAGTGCTGAAATACGTTGCAAATGAGAATGCAAGATTCCGCACATTTGTAGCTAATAGGATCTCTGTTATTAGAGGAAACACAGATGTAAAACAGTGGAAATTCATCAGAACAAAGCAGAACCCAGCTGACCTAGCATCAAGAGGGGTTAGTGCCAGCACATTGGTGAAGTGCAAAGAGTGGATCCATGGACCAGACTTTCTATGGAAGAAAGAAGAGGAATGGCCTAAAGAGTCCCTGGGACCCATGTCTCTCTCTCTCGATGACCTTGAAGTTAAAAGGAACACCACTGTTTATAGTACTGTCATTAAAGAGAATGAAAATCCTACCAGCCAACTGCTTAACTATTTCTCAACTTGGACAAAGCTAAAGTTGGCAGTAGCATGGTTCTTGAAGTTCAAGAATATCCTTCGCTTGCTTATTGCAAAAAGAAAAGAGATACAGCCCACCTGCGTGAATAAGGACACTCAGAGCCAAAACAATGTATGTAATGAAATGAAAATATTCAAGACATCACTTTGTGGACAATCCATAGGCTTGGATGATCTCTTGAAAGCAGAAAAGGCCATTGTTGAGTTTTGGCAGAAACAAAGGTATGCAGAGGAAATGTCAAGAATTGGAAAGACATCACCTGCTGGAAAGCGCTTGAATAGATTCAGCAGCCTGTACAAGCTAGATCCTGTGATGGACGATGGAGTTTTGAGGGTTGGAGGAAGGTTGGACAAGTCTGCAATGCCTGAGGAGACCAAGCGACCTATAATACTTCCAAAAGATGTTCACATCTCCACACTTATCCTTCAACACATACACGAACAGCTCGGACATGCTGGCAGAAACCATGTTCTCTCACACCTGAGAAAGAAATATTGGATTATAAATGCCAATTCTGCAGCCCGCAAAGTTCTGTCTAAATGTGTTGTATGCAAGCGTGTAAGAGGAAAGATTGGAGAGCAAAAGATGGCAGATTTACCAAAGGAAAGACTACAAGCTGATCTTCCACCTTTCAGCAATGTTGGCGTTGACTACTTTGAACCTTTCATGACAAAAAGAGGAAGAAGTCAGGTAAAGAGATATGGGGTTATTTTCACTTGCATGACAAGCAGGGCAGTTCACCTAGAAATGGCTCACTCACTGAACACAGATTCCTGCATTGACGCTTTAAGAAGATTCATAGCCAGAAGGGGCCAAGTACTGCATATTCGCTCTGATAACGGAACTAACCTGGTTGGTGCAAAAAGAGAGTTACATAATTCACTTTCAGAATGGAACAAAAGCCGAATCCAGAAGGCAATGCTCCAGAAA